TGCTGGACACGTGCTGGATTCTGCTGGCGCTGGACACTTGCTGAATGCAACTTGTACAGGACACTTCCTTGTAGGAAAGAACATATTCTATTCCTTAATATTATTGATCTTTGTGCGATTATATCTATAAAGTTAACTGTAATATGAAGTAGTCACAAGAGGGAAGTGTACTGTATGTGAGAAGCCTCACGATGTCATTTAAAAGTCGAAGTCTTACAATTATAGCTTAATTGCATTAGTCAAATAAGTACAGATCTAAAATCAGTAGGATTCATCATCAGCAATCGTATCCGTGATCCTTTGCTCTCATTCTAATGCAGGTTTTAAAAAATTAAGTAATATTTATTTATTATAGTCATTGAGTTAAAGGTGTTTAAAATCGTGCGCAAAATGTTAGAAGGAAAGCTATTAATAAACGTATAATTATGAAAATTGTAGCTTCAGGCTGGATTTGAACGACAAAATCCGTGGCATTCTGTTTTTTTTTTCTTCATCTGCACGCATCTTGCAGTATGAATGTTCAGTTACATCGATATTTTGTATTCTAAATCTTTCCATTTTAAAGTGAATTAACTCGTATAAATTAGTTTAAATAAATTTGTGCATTGTTCTTCTCTCGGTCTTCGTTCGAATATTTTAGTCTGTTTATGTAAGACTGCAGGAATGCTTACGTTAAATTTGTTGCACGTACTGTTGTTAGGTTCGAAGATATCCGTTTTACAAATTTACAGTGCATTTTAATAACGTTTATACAGGCCTTGTAAAAACATTGTTCTGATCAGCCATAAATTTCACAAAATAATAAAGATCTTCTCAGATTTTTCAAGAGGTTACCTGTAAAACGAATGAAAGATAAAAAGAAAATAAATTAGTGGCATTCTTCACTTATTGATTTCAATTCTCGCTTCCTAAAAAAAATTTTACGGAGGCGCATGGCTTTATTAGAAAAATATATTTTTCAACTCCTACAGAATATAGATTACACGAACTAAAATTTGATATTTTAAATATAAAATTATTTGGAAAGAAAAAATTTCTGTCGGACCACGCGACAGGTTTTATTGTTTGTCGGTTCACTGCTCATTGGATCGATTTCCGTCGCCGCTGAGTGGCAGTTTCCTTTTACTGCCGTACTGTCTTTACAGAAATAAAGTTTTTCATTTTAAATAAAAAGAAACTTGCAGTTTGTATCCACTTTATTTTTCCACTTTGTACAAGTTTGGCACAGGCTACTGTAACGACGGAAAATCTTTTTTACGATGATTGTTTTAAAATATTTTATGTTTTTGTATGCTTTTTAACTTTTTAATCTTATAATGAAATATATGTTCCCTGAAGATGTCAAAGATTCCTTCTGCTTTTGGTGTAAAAAAGGAAAAATTACTATTCACGATTGAATTTTTACTGGAATCTTCTGGCTTCAGCCAAATTGGATTTATGTCGGACATCATTTATAATTAGTCTTCAATTTCATGTGTAATAATAAAGTATGTAATGAATCAATAATAGAATTTAACATTGGTCTTGAAGATCTTTTGCTTTTCTAATCCTATATAACGTTTTTTAGTGATACCTCTTTATAATTATAGTGTATCATGCGTGTATTCTGACGCGTGTTGCATATACTAGCTCGTATTGTCATCCCTATGGGGTGATTTTGCCTCCCCAAGCAAAGCTAAGTCTTTTGTGTCAAGTCTTCTAAGTCTAAGTCAAGTCAAGTCACTAAGTCTTTTTATCTTCAAGTTTTTTGTGTTCGTATTTCCTCCTACTTTATTAGATGCTAACGGAGCTTCTGAATTTCCAGCTTCACAGTCTGGCCATTTAAGACTTCAAGATACTTTTGGATGATGAATGCAATTTTTGGAGGAAATTTGTGATGATCGAGAACTTCAAGCTCGTTAGTGATGTTTGTTCTGAAATTTTTCGTGCCTAATTGCTTTGTATTTAATGCACTAATGAACATTGTACAATAAAAATACTGAGACTACGGTACTTCATCATGCGTATGATGCCTAGAAGTTTTATAGTTTTTTCGCGGAAAAGTTTTAATGAAGGACTTTTATAAATGTTGAACCTTCTCGACGCTTGAGTTATGTCGTGTGCTGCATCGGGTAATTGATGTTTGATGCATTTGAAAATTTTCCAATTTTCAAATTTTCAAAATTTTGATCTCTTTTATCATTGAAAAAAAAATTGTGTATTGCTCTGATATTCCATTGATGTTGCTGTATCCCAGAACTCAGAGAATGTTGGGCGAACATACTCGTATTCTATTCATTTGTAATATAATTTAGTTTTTAGGAATGAGTTTTTCGCTGTGTATTTGAATTAATTTGATAAATTGCTGAATATTGTAGCTTGAAATTCATTCGATCTTTCTTCCTTAATTTTCTCGAATCTTTTAATACGGTCACCACTATAAATAAACAAAATAAATGCGTCTCAGATTTTAATTAATTTTAATCTTTATTACGTTTTTTGCTGCCTATTGTGACGTGTGCTGTTTTTTCCAGGTATTTTTCCCAGAGCAAGGAGGGATGGGGATGGAGGGAGCGCCTAAAGTCATTGTTATATTAAAATCTTTTAAGTTCATCCCTCCCAAATATCGAGGCTCATTCGGGGCTGGTTTTAATTATCGGAGCAAAGCCTGGAGTTGGTTTTGCATTAGCGACCTGCCACTACGAGTCTCCATCGCTGCTTCTTTCATCTTGCTTCTTAACCAGGACCTATACTTTCAAAAAAGTTAAGAGATCGTAAGTTCATCAGCCAATCATTGACAGCCTTTCAAGCAAAATCCACCAATCATTGACAAGAAAATAGAGCGTAAGTACTTACGTTCACTTAGCCAGTTTTGAAAGTATGGCCCCAGAATCTCTACTGCTTTACGCAAAAATAAAAGAAGGCAAACAAATTACTTAGAATGAAGAAAATTTTATTCATTGTTAAGATAATATATGCCTATTTGATTAATGCAAACCATTCGATTATTTTTATATTGCCCTATTTTACATTTCATGTGTAATTAATTTAATGTTTCGTGTGCCTATCATTACATTTGAATTTTTGAACTGTTATTAGGCTGTCTGGGATTGCTCGGGCTTGATAATTATGCTATTTTAATAATTAATAATTATGCAATTGCGTCATTTCCGTAATCTTTAATCCATTTGATTATAAGCAACTATGTATTCTAATTAAATAAAAAAAACTTCAAATTCTCATTTTACGTCGAAAATTGGACTGCCATTTTACTCTCCTTTCAAGTGTGGAAAAAATTATTTTCGGTCCTTAAAATTAAGTTTGTCTTTACCAATTGCGCAATCGATTTTCAATTTTTATCCAATCCTTTCCTTCAATCATTTCCTATTCTAAAAATTACTACTTAAGACGGTGGTGCCAGACTTTAAACGCACACACCAATGAACCTATGAACTTTGCCCTTTTACGATTTGGCGATAGCGAAATTGGTTTTTAAACTCTTCCGGAAAATCGCTAATTTGTTACTTATTTTTTTATTAAAAATGGTAACTGTCATTTTAATCTTAGAGCGCATTTATATATATATATATGTTCGAGCAAAATGCGGGTAAATGAGCCTGCCACGAAATGTCTTGTGCGAAGCAATCTTGTTGAGGTTTGTCTCAAATTTGACGCTGTAATTAGTTCATTAATGGCACAAAATGTAAGCCACTCCATGTCGACTTATGTTATCAGAACTGAGATTCTGAAGCAACAATAGTAGAAGAACTGAACTGACCGCACTGGTGACTAGTTTGCTCGATCTTCAACGTGGACGTTCAATGAGTGTTCAATCTTAGCTGTGAAACTCAGTTGACTGATTCTTTCTTTGAAGAAATAATGCAAGCTCAAATCATAAGTGCAGACGAATCCGCTTTTTAAATAATGTCATTCGTGGTATATACATATACAGGGTGTCTCAAAAAAACTATATTCAACTTTGAACTTTGAAATCTGTAACTCGAAAAGTAATAGAGTTAAAAAAATTTGGATTATCAGGATTTGTTTTCTATGTTTTCTCCATCTCACCACCAAAAATCAGACAAATCGATGTAGCCATAAGCGTTTGATAGAACTTTCAGTGACGTGTGCTAAAATCGTGCTTGCGCAAAGTTTTAGTAAGATTATTTTGCATAATCATTACGATGTCTTGACATTTTTTTCTTTTTGCTGTTTTATTTTTTGTATCTTTTATGAGACAAAAACATGGCAATCTTTGGTGAGAGGCAATCATGGCAATCTTTGGTGAGAGACAATCATACAAAGATTGCATGATTGTCTCTCACCAAAGATTGCAATGATTGTGTCTCACCTAAGATTGTCATGATTGCCTCTCACCAAAGATTGCCATGTTCATGTCTCACCAAAGATACAAAAAATAAAACGACAAATAGAAAACATGTCAAGACAACATAATGATTATGCAAAATAATCTTACTAAAACTCTGCGCAAGCACGATTTTAGCACATGTCACTGAAAGTTCTATCAAACGCTTATGGCTACATCGATGGCTTATCAACATTCTATTCATTCATTATCAACATTCATTCATTATCATTCTATCAAACGCTTACCGTATGGCTCCATCTCTCCGGTGGAGAGATGGAGAAAAACATAGGGAACAAATCCTGACCTTCCAAAATTTTTAACTATTACTTTCCGAGTTACAGCCATTCAAAGTTGAATATCGTTTTTTTTTTGACACTGTATAATACAGCTGTAACTGGAGTTACTATACGAGACCCTCGGCAACTACTACATACGTATATATATTGCACGCCTGAGAACAATCTATATGTGAATAAATTTTATGTTGTACAATATTTGCAGGTCTATTGAATGCTCACGGCCGATGTGAAAAAAACAGTCGCTTCATTCGGCTACAAGTAAATTTCTACGAATAACTTTCCGAATGGCTTCCATCTTAACAGGTCGTATAAATAAGGTTTATCTGATTATAAATTGCTAATTTTTGAAAAAAATCGCTCCAATACGAAAACTTAATTGTAAAGGTGACAATCGAGTTGAAGTGATGAATGCGCGAATTTGAAGTAAAATCTTTGCAAAAGATACCGTAGTTCATATTTTTTATTAAGGACGCTTAATTTGTGAAGTGAAATTTATCGATCCTCTGAATTGTACAAGAAAAAGAAATAAATCAAGAATTCAATATTGAGATCATCATCGTAATTGATCCCATGATATATTTTTTGTTACTATAAAGAATCCAAAGTCTTACTGACAAACGGAAACAGAGCTCGCTCACGAGTGGACCGACAAAAGTGTATGCCACTTCATAACGTGATCGGCTGACGATAGTTACGTACACTTTAAACGGGAGTGACCGACGAAAGGTGTATGAAACTTACTTCATAACGTGATCGGCTGACGATAGTTACGTACATTTTAAAAGGAGTAAAGCAGTGATTATATTGTCGCCATGTACGGCATTCTGTGTGAGAACTTGGTTGAGTACGTCAAGTTCCAGTATGGGGAGGACAAGTGGGAGGAGATCAGACATCTCGCCAAGATTGAATTCCCCGCCTTCTGCACTCATCAAGTCTACAGTGAAAATCTTCTGCCTAAATTAGGCAAAAAAGCTGCCCAGGTTCGAAAGTATGGATTCAGGTCATATTTTCAATTATATAATACTACGTTTCCTCTGTCTGATTCTTAAAATCTTTCATGTTTTTTTCTCATTTTCGTAGTTTATACTCTCATTACTAACTTATATCCGTGTTCTGTAATATTTTTCTTCTATTTAAAAGAATCGGCATAATTAATTTGGGAAGGTTAACTTCTGTTATCCTTACCATCCAATGTTTTGCATTAACAGTATATTCTAAACTTCGAGTCTGAAACATCAAGCGAATGCAAACTCGGTCATTGAAACAGACATGAAAGTTTCCAAGTCCCACAAAAAACTAATTTTCGAAGTCAACTGAAGTCAAATTGTTTTCCGGCTCCTTTGTATTCCCTGTTATGAATTTTAATATCTTCCAAAAGTCTACGGCAATAAAACTTGTTATCCAAACAAAGGGTTGCGCTTACTCTTATTTTGAGTCGGGCCAAAATTTAACGGTAAGAATCGCTTGTTTATCCTGTTCTTCATTCATGAAATGTAAGGAATTATGCAGCATGTTTACCCTGAAAGAAACAACTGAATAAAGATGACTCTGTTAAGCAAGTCAGAGCTTGTCTCTAAAATAACGACTTACAGTGAACGGTCTTTACTAATTTTGCTTCAAATTGTCACTTATTTTTTTCTTTTCACACCTACTTGAGTTACTTTTCTGATTTACTTTTTATTTCCTAACTTTCATTTCTTTCTAGACATACTATGTTATGTCTTTCATTCCACACTTATTTTATTCTAACTTTTGTTCCTTTCCAGACTCACTTTGATATCTTTTTTGACTCGGTTCAATTTTGTGACATGTCTATTTACGACACACAATGATCAACTTGAGTCTTTAAATAAAATCGTCTGGAAAACTGACATAATATAAATTTTATTTTATCATACTTTATTAGAATCCCAGCGAGTTAAATTGACTGATTACTCTCTTTGAATGTACACACAGGATTCACAGTGTTTTTTTACAGAACCGCAATACATGCACTTCAGGTCTATAGCAAATCTTGAATGTTGAAGAATATTTCTACACGATATGTTTTATGAGTGTAATTTTCCACTACACAAATTCCACCGAAATGTAATATTTTTATCCGATTTTTATTGGGTAGTTGCTACTTATAAAATATAATGTGATTGCTGGAGTCTCCAGACACTTCTATTGAAGGATTTTGAAATTTTTTGGTGTAATGTGGAACTATTTGTAAAATTTCGCGCCACACACACTCAACTCAACATTTGAACACGCTTATGACCGCAGCGTGTGTCACTGATTCAAGATTCGCTTATATGTGATTCGCGGCATGCCGGTTCTCTTCTATGAATTTATTTAATGCTTGAATCCTGTAATCGATAGAATTTTTCAATTTATAATTCGTAACTTGGAATTTTGCTGTTGTTCATACCCTTGTAAATAATTAATAAGTCAGGAGAAACTATACTGTTACTCAAACATCGATGATTTCCAAAATTGGAATTTTATCTTACCAAATTTTGTCTTTTGATTTTTTCTCATCTTTTTCAATTCATAAATGATCTATGTAACCTTGCCCTCCTGAACGCACTTGCCTCCTTTCATAACTTGCAGGTTCTCAACACGACGGAAGAAGAGTTCTTCTTCGGCATGGGCGCTTACTTCGTGAGCTTCGTGGGGCAGTACGGGTACGACAGAGTGCTGTCCGTACTGGGCAGACATGTGCGCGACTTCATCATGGGTGAGCTATGAGCAGGAACTTTTAGGATTATGTCTTTGACAACTCATCAATAACTTTATCAAGCATGAGCTAAGACAATTGAGGAACCTTTTGACTTGAAAGTTAATGGGTGAGCTAGGATCAGGAACTTTTAGGATTAAGTCTTTGACAACTCATCAATAACTTCGTCATGCATGAGCTAAGACAATTGAGGAACCTTTTGACTTAAAAGTTAATGGGTGAGCTATGACCAGCAACTTTTAGGATTAAGTTTTTGACAACTCATCAATAACTTCATCAAGCATGAGCTAAGACTAGAAACCCTTAGAGTTAAGTCAGGGTTAAGTCCTCGGCAAACTCACCCATGATTTCATCATGAGTGAGCTACCGAGGTTGAAAAAAACAGTTATGGATGGGATCAATTCCTGTACACAATATTGCAATTATTTATAGGATTGCTATATTAATCCCAACCCAAATACCCGCGTTTTCGCTTCGTCAAAAATTCTATATCCTGAGATTTGCGTTGCGTTCTCCCCGAGGTCTGGACAACTTGCACGAGTACCTCAAGTTCTCGTACCCTCGTATGCGGCCGCCCTCTTTCTTCTGCGAGTGCGAGAGCAGCACCGGCATGCTGCTCCATTACCGCTCCAAGCGCCGTGGCTATGCGCACTACGCCATGGGGCAGATCAAGGAGGTAAGTGCGAGAGCAGCACCGGCATGCTGCTCCATTACCGCTCCAAGCGCCGTGGCTATGCGCACTACGCCATGGGGCAGATCAAGGAGGTAATACAACACCGGCATCTCGCTTGCTGCCTATTATATCTTTCTTTTTATTATGCATTTATTATATTATACCCTTTTACGACATTCTTACTGCCGATTTTTGTGCAACTATAGAGGTGCGTTAGCAGCGGTTTCTCGTTTGCTGCCATTTATAGATGTATTTTTCGTATATGCATTACTGAAATTATTTTGTATTTTGCTATGAACTTTGAATATTTTTATGCTGCAGAGTAAATCAAGGTCACTTTGTCAAGTTTAATTCGCAAACTTATACTTCTGTTTTGTGCATCCTGTACGTTTCTATATGACATACATAACTATACAGACAAATTTGCAATTGTGCTGGCCTTTTAATCCATATTTCGCATGTACGAATTATTCATATTTTTAATTTCATTCTGATATTCTATAGATTTTTTTCCTTAATTTATTTGAATAATAAGTTTTGATGCAATGGGGCATATCAAGGTGGTAAAATATTGTGAGGATACCTATTGCCGCATATATTTGATAATTATTCATTTTTGATCACGTTCATATTTTTAATAATTATTTATTTCTTTATCACGTTCATTTGGAAAATAACTAGATATTTCATTCATTTCAAACTTCAATTCGTATCATGAATCTCGTTTTTTTATCATAATTTTGAGTATTCCGAAGTTAATTTCTTCATTATTATTTTGTTCAGTAACGTATATTCGACTTCTGTTCGGCTAACAATTTTCTCAATATCCCAATCCTGCAGCGTTAGATAATTGTCATTTTACATGGTGTATTCAATTGAAGGTGGTGCGTCATTTAAGGTGGCGCGTTAGATATTCATTATTTTACATGATGTATTCAATTTAAGGTGGCGCGTTAAATAATTATTATTTTACATGATGTATTCAATTTAAGGTGGCGCGTCATTTAAGGTGGCGCGTTAGATAATTATTATTTTACATGGTGTATTCAATTAAGGTGGCTCGTTAGATAATTGTCATTTCACATGGTGTATTCAATCTAAGGTGGCGCGTCACTTCTACAACGCTGACTTGGAGATCGAGCTGATCCGAGAAGACATGCAATTTGACACCTCGCACGTGGTCTTCCAGCTCACCTTCGACAACGAAGCTTACTCGAAACAGATGAACCTGTGTCAGCTCAGAGCTGAAGATAACCTTCCACTCAGGGGACACATAATATTCGAAATCTTCCCCTTCTGTCTTCTATTCAAGTAAGTGTGATTTTCTCTCTATAAAATTTTTCCAGAAATGCCTGGAAGGTGTATTTTCATACAGGAATTATTCTTGAATTTTCATTTATTTTGTGCTTTTCTTGGGTACTTGGTAAATTACTCAGTCGTAGCTGATTGATTTATATTAATGTAATGAATATTTTAGTGAAATGTATTTAAATGTATTTAAAAGTAAAATTTTTACAATTTTCATTCGACCCGTAGGATGAAGATCTAAAATTGTATTTATTTACAAATGTGTAAAATTTCCACGTTCTCAGAAAATTCATGCTCTGAGTCATCACACACATTGCCACTCTGAATTTTATATCAAATTGCTCGACGAATTTAATGCAAAACTTCACCTAATGTAACCGTAGGCGTCAATGGCGCTCTCCCTTTCACTGCTCATATTACTGTGCGTTTTTCTTGGGATGCTTATTAGGAAATTACGACGCTGCTGATTTGTAACGCTTTTTGAACCAAATTCTGAAAGTAAATCTCACTTTTTTTCTCGAGCAGCACAAACATGGTTGTGAAGTTCATCGGAAATTCTCTAATGCAAATACTGCCCGAACTCGTCGGAAAAAAAGTCACGGATTGGTTCGACGTCGTACGGCCTATGGTTGAATTCAAATTCGATAACGTGAGTACCTGACATTTTGAAGTTCTTTCCACTCCTTTTGAAGTAATTTTGAAGTAATTACACGCCTGGAAATTTTCGCGCTAAGTTCAATGCCGCTACGTGATTTTTTTCTTACAAATTAAAAAAAATTTTAACATGTAGATTTTCAAGCCTTAAAAATGTATATTTTTCGAGCATGTTAGTCGTTTCTTGTCGTTATTTAATGAAAAAATTGTTAGATGTTTATTAAAATTAAAAATTATTCTTGTCCCACCCGCGAGAGCGAAACGCCGCACACTCCGTACATCAAACAGACTTGCTCGTCCACGATATTGTTTCTTGTTTCATTTTAGCCGCTAACGAAGAGGCAATATTAGTAACTTACGACTTTAATATTGCATACTTACGAGGTGCGAAGAGCCTGGTTCTAGCTGCTGCGTCTTATCTACGAGGAAACAATGGTTGCGTCGGGGTCGTATATGTTACGACAAGATGGCTGTCGACGTGACCGCGTAAACAGCTTGTCGTTATGTGGTGGCGATGAACTTGGACCCTGCAAGACACTGCTACGTATTTTCTTTAGTATTAGTTTGACATAATATTGACTCTTTTTTTATTTTTGCACATCCAGTGATTTGGTTTTACTGATATAGGCACCTCCCGTGACATGGTTACCTTGTGACTAGGTGTCGTTCAGTCTTGCACCTCCCGTGACTATATAGGTTTCCTTCAGTCTTGTACCTCCCGTGACTAGGTCTCCTCCAGTCTTGCACCTCCCGTGACTAGGTCTCCTCCAGTCTTGCACCTCCCGTGACTAGGTCTCCTCCAGTCTTGCACCTCCCGTGCTGGTTTCCTCCAGTCTTGCACCTCCCGTGACTAGGTCTCAAGTCTTGCACCTCCCGTGACTAGGTCTCCTTCAGTCTTGCACCTCCCGTGACTAGGTCTCTTCCAGTCTTGCACCTCCCGTGACATGGTTTCCTTCACTGTTGCTCATCCAAGTGACTATGTCTCCTTCAGTCTTGCACCTCCCATGACTAGGTCTCCTCCAGTCTTGTACCTCCCGTGACTAGGTCTCCTCCAGTCTTGCACCTCCCGTGACTAGGTCTCCTCCAGTCTTGCACCTCCTGTGACTAGGTCTCCTCCAGTCTTGCACCTCCCGTGACTTGGTCTCCAGTCTTGCACCTCCCGCGACTAGGTCTCCTCCAGTCTTGCACCTCCCGTGACTAGGTCTCATCCAGTCGTGCAACTCCCGTGACTAGGTCTCTTCCAGTCTTGCACCTCCCGTGACATGGTTTCCTTCACTGTTGCTCATCCAAGTGACTCCATTCACTCGAAGAGCCGTCAAAAAAATTTCTGAGTTACTTGCGTATTTTGCCCGCGATGGTGTAAGAAATTATGGGTTTCGAGGAATAATACCAGAATTGAAGCTTAAGTATTGTAATTACTAAAATTATTTGCTCTTTATAATCACTATAGACAAGTACTTTTTTGTCCGTCTCGGCAATGGTTTCTGTTTAATAGTATAGAAATGGACAAAACAATTCGAATGTTGCAATTTTGAATGATTATTTCGACGATTTGGTCGGCTTTTTCAAGTACAATTTAAACCCGATTCTATTAACAAGCATCACCGGAAAAATTCGTAACTCCTGAACCAGTTTGTCAGGGTGCCCAGTACAATTTAATAATTAATTCAACACAACTTCAGTGAGGACACTAAAAATTTTTCTGAAATGCTGCTGAATTTTAGTATAGAAGAAACATATGTTCCTTAGCAACGTGTTCTTTTTTGACAAAAATTCAAATTGTAAGTTGTAACAAGTCATAATATTGACGTCAAAATCTAGATCATGTATTTTCTTGATCATTTATAGTCTACTTCATTATTCATGCACATCTTCCACGTCGACAGCGCAACAGTAAATTTTGGAATTTTATTAATGGTGGCTATGATCCATGCTGTGTTTATAGAGACATGGAATGCATAATAAAAAATTTTGTGCTGCGTCCGCTGCTATTAAAAGGTATAAAACTTATTCCCAATTCCTGCTGGATTACAGTATACGAACTCAAGTTCGGCCTTGACTTGAAGAGAGGCTCAGGCTGAGGGAGCTAAGCTCCCTATAGGACGGACTTAACTAACCTAACTAATATCAAGTCGGAATTACGACCAATGTAGTTGTACAGGCCTCGAGTAATAGCATTAGAGTGAGGGGTCAATTAAGTTCGCTGTTCTGATTAAATTCCGCCTATTAAGCAATGAGATACGCCCCTATCATTCGACCATCATGGAACGAATAAATCGCGGCCAGATTGATGGCGGATCTTTGATGATGCTATCGAGTCGAATAAATCCTACTGCAATTAATGTAGGATTTATGAGGGAGACGTAACTAATCTTTTCAGACCGCCAAGTGTACAGAGAAGACACGAGTCAAAACAAAGCATATACTTTAGGTTGAAATACCCATTAAACGATTTACCTTCTTCTTAGTCTGGCGCGACCGTCTCTTCACGTGCATCAACTTATTTGCTAAAATTTATCTCGTCTAAATTGTGTAGGATGTTTGTAATTTCGTACAGAATGAATGCTGCAGCACTGGAAGATTTTCCTCAATTTTGAACTTCTAAATTTGCCTCTGTACGCGAAGTATGACAATTTCACACTCGTAGCTTGAGGTTTTTTTAGTAGTTAATTGTTTTTTAAGGAGAAGTTTCTAAACTGATTTATGCTAGTGTAGTGCAAGTGAATATATGCAGTCTTATTCGGTTCACTTTTCAACTGTTTTAACTGTAAATGTTACTGAACTTATATCTACTATTGCACGTTTTCAAGTTCTCTTCAATATGGTTATTGTTTTGTCTTAATAAATGAAATTAATGCAAACTTTGTACAACTTAGTGCAACCCTCCATTTATTTGTATAGTTTACTTTACTTCAGTTATGCAACAGTACTATATATAGGCTTTACTGCATTTTTTTTATTAAATTCTTGATTTTAAAGAGAAACTGCATAATGAGATTCTAAAGATACCTTGTATAGTTAAATTTGAATATCTTTCTGCGTGATTTTTTATTCAGTACGAGTATAGAAATTAACATCTTTTGATTTTGTTATTTAAAATCCTATAAAATAACCTCGTTTCTTATTGAAATCTGGGTTAAAAAAGAATTGGATTTTCGGCCACGTGGTCGCGGAAAAATTACAATGGTGCAAGTTAAGCGAAACGATCGCAAGCGCTGTGCAACGGCACGAAAAAACCCAATGCTTTAAATGCAGTTTGCTTACGCGGCATTTGTGGCACGTTTGTCTTTCTGCCGATTGAATTGGATGGAGTTTTCATTGGTCACCCATATCTCGCGCTAATTGAATATAATTGAATATGTATAGTGATTAGTAACGCACCCTGTAATATATATAATTGTTATGATCTATATAAAAAAGTAAATGATGTATCTCTGTGCTCATTGAATGATATTTTGATCGTGATTACATAAGTTTGGCTTGAATATGTTGGAATACCATATAAATAGTTTCTGTATTTAATTGTATGAGTAAAATTTGTGAATGGTTTATCAAAGATGCATACCCAGATCCTGCGGCGAACGAACAACATCTTCGAACTCGTGACGTCAGAGGAAGCCAAAGAATATCACCTAAATCAACGCGAGAAGAGCTACCGTAGCAACTCTAAGTTTATCAAAGACGAGTCCGAGACCGAGGAGGACGAGGAGTCTAAAGGACTCACCCTCAAAGGTGAGGCCCAGTGGTTACAGTTCAGAGTACCAAGATTGGCGCAGAGAGGCGCGGGTTCGATCCCAGCTCTGTGCGCCAGTTTCTGGTCAGAATCGGCAAGGAGGCCGGGCGGTTAAGCACAGCAGAATTGGAGCAGTGAGTTGTGAGTTCGAGACCGCAACAAGCTGTGAATGTTCTGCGATGTTAAGAATCGGCGACAGGCCTACGGC